CTTTGTTTTTAGGTGTATAATATTTTTAATTTTTATGCCCTCTTGATAAATTGTCACTAGGAAATGACATTCTATATTCATGGTAAAACTTTTTACCTGAAATCTACCTTATCTTAGACTAATGTAGTCATTGTAACTTTACCTTACTGGTATTAATGTGGCAAACTTTTTCCATCTTTTTACATTTAACTAATTTATTTGAAGTGTGTTTCTTGCAGGCAATGTATAATTAGTTCTTGCTTCCTTAATTAATTTAATAATCTGTGCCTTTTATTTGGAGTGTTAAGACTATTTACATTTAGTATGATTACTAATGACATTAAGTTTTAGTTTTAGTGAGATTTGGAAAATTTGAGACCACTGTTCTCCAAATAATTTCCCTTTTCCCACTCCCTTTTCAGGGACTCTAACTATTCTTAAAGATATCCTTCAGCGTATGGATGCTCTGTTCATTTTTTTAAGTTATATATTCTCTGCTACATTTTAGAATTCCTAGATATTACTGTTTTCAAGTTCACTACTCTTCTTCTGCACTGTTTAATCTGTCATTAATTCTAATATTTTCATTTCAGGCATGTAGTTTTCACTTCTAGAGACTGAATTTGGGCTGTTTTTAAAACTTTCATGTCTCTTCACACTGCAGGGGAGGAAGAGGGAGAGGGATCAGAGGGAGGAAGGGAGGAGCACAGGGGACTGAGGTGATGGTGCACACATGTATTAGGGAAGGAAATTCCATGGAGACTACACCTGAGAGGGTGGGGGGAAGCAAATATTGTTTAAAAATGAACAACAATGTAAAAAAATAAAAACAAATTAAATTTAAAAAATTAAAAAAAAACTTTCATGTCTCTTGTTTGCCTTTTTAAACATATGTAGGTAACTGTCCATATGTCCCTGCCTACCAATCCCAACATCTGTCAGAAGTGTTTGGGCACCTTTAACTTTTGCATGAGATAGACTCCAACTTTCTACTAGGAATCCCTCCAGTAAGAAGGGGACAGAATTATTAGCAACTAAAAACCAATGTCTAGTGTACCCCACAATCAGCCAATTCCAGGGACCCAGAACATAACAAGTGAACAACAAAATAATAATAAAATACATGGTTATAGCAAATAAAACACCTTAAATTATATTTCTAAATTTTCTTTTTTAAAAAATATTTATTTATTTATTTATTTATACAAGAACTGGGGTACAGGCCAGATGGGCGGGAGGGTGAGAGCATTCACCAGAGATAGAGTGGGGAACAGAACAGGCAGACTGACGAAATACACTGCTAGGGGATCAGCGGGAGCGACAGGAGAGGTCTGTTGCGCCATGTGGGACCCTCACAGGCTGGCCGGGATCGAACCGGTGCTGCAGAGGCTGCAGACAGCTTCATAGCGCATCGCTCAACTGCCTGAGCTACCAGGGGAGGCCCTCTAAATTTTCTTTTTAATTTGGGGAGGCACCAAATCCATTTGGTCACTCGTTTATAAACCTATATGGATTCTAAGTGAAAAACTGGTCCTGTGGTGGTGATTCATTCCTTTATGAATCATAGTAATGCTATTTGCAAAGGTCTTATGAACCTCCAAATTGCACCTTTCAAGATGAGAAGTATAATTTGTATCAAAAGTCAACTGGTACAAACAACAAGCACACCTGTGTTCAAAACTGTTGCTAATGGGGCTTTGCTGAACCTGGCACCATGACTCATTCTAGATGACTGTTTCCCAGTTCTTCAAAGTTCAATCAGTTAAGCAGAAAACTTTAGAATTTTAGTTATGTGAGATAAAAATCTTCCCAAACATATGTTTGTACTTCATAAACAAGGAAAAGTTAACATAATTTCATCTTCTCTTAGAGACTCTGAGTTACTCATAAAAAAATCAATAGCTGGCCAAGTCTGGAAGAAAGTCAAGACTCTAGGAGTTATTTAAACCTACTCTAAATGGTCCAGATGGCTGGTTTTGAGTTCCTAGGACTATTCTAGTAGCCTCCCCTTTTGTTGACACCTGTCATTTCCTACTATTAGGAAATCTTAGCTATCTTAGCTCCTTTTGCCTATCTTAGCTCCTTCCACCTTTAATTCTTTGTTTGTTTTTTATACCTGAGAGCTTAGCTATCTTGTAAGAATTATATAAAATTAGTGCAAATGGATTCTGAATAGGACCCTGGGAGACTTCACATGTGAACAATGTAAAGTTGCGGGCCTCCCTGGTGGTACAAGGGGTTAAGATGCAACCTATGCAGCTCACTGTAGTTACTGCAGCACGAGTTCCATCCCCAGCCAGGGAGCTACCCACATGGCACAGCAGAATTTTCCTAACTCGTCTGCTGCTCCCCTCAGCAGTGTATTTCAGTCAATCTGCCTGTTCTGTTCCCCACTCTGTCTCTGGTGAATCTTCTCACCCCCCACAACTCTGGCCTGTACCCCAGTTCTTGTATGTACAAATAAATATAAATCTTTAAATTAAAAAAAAAAGAGTTACTCTGACACTTTTTTCTTTAATTGGTAGGTTATAGATGTGTAAAACAAATGAAATATCTTGTGACATCAACCCTTACTCCTCAAATGTTTTGTTGGCTTATTTTGTTCTTCTTACTTTGTGATTCTTGGCCAAGTCCTTCAGCGGGAAGGATGACGGATGGTAGGTTTCCCGCAGTGGAACCTAGACTTCTGTCTCTCAATAGCCTCAGAGGCATCATCTTGGTTAGAAATATATAACCAGTCACTTGGATCAACAAATAATTGAAATACCTCAAAGAAAGACTTGCCAATGATTGTGGTCAGAAACAGGAATGCCAGAAGAAGATACCCTCACAAAGATTTCCTTATTCCTTACCAAGACTTACTAAATTCTTGTGGGCTCGATTGGAAGAAGAAACTTTGTTCTCTAGGTTTGGCTTTGAGTGGGTCTGTTCCCCATGAGGGACATCAGGCTGTCAGACACCAAACTTCCGATCTGTAGAAATGATTCCCAAGCAGGGCTTTTTCCTCTGGTGCCTTTCCCTGTAGCACACTATCTAAGTTCAAGAATTTCTCTGTACCAGGAGAAACCCCTGTCCAATAATTCGGTATAATCCTGGGGAGCATTTTCAATGGATGAATGAGTTCCCAACAATTTAACTCCTTAAACAGCAGAAATCTCAACTGCTCCCAGGCGACTGTGCATTGGCTCAGAAAAAGTCCTGCTGCTTCCATTCCTCCAAAATCCCCCTGGCACAGGACAGCTGAGGCACCCAGTCATTCCTTCGCACCAAGGTGTTACCCAGGGAACTGATTCCCCTCAGGCTGTGGGAGTCCCCTTAAGAGGTCAGCACTGCTGTCCTGGAGCCTGAATCTCACAGCCCCAGCCCCTTTCCCCTCAGACAGGCTGACCTGTGGGCTTCCTTCCAGCCTCTTTCCTCTGGGAAGCTTCCTGCTTACTTGACCTAGTTTCTATAAGCTCAAGACAGAGGCCATGGAGAAGTGCTGACTCACCCTAGAGTCTGCTGTGTCCAAGATATAAAGTCCAATATCAATGTGAAATACCACCTTTTAGTAGCCACACATCATACAGATTTAAAGCTTGATTATAATTAATGATCAGCCTGTGTTTCTTCCTTCCCTTGAGTAAGAAAAAAGAAAATTCTTTTCTTTCAGTAGATTCTAGATTCTGTATTTATAAATATCATTAGAGGTTGCACATTTTCTCAACAACAGGAAAAGTCAAATCAGAACAGAACTATTTCTTCTTTTATTTTTAGGGAGTTTTCTCCCCTCTCCATTTCCATCTCAATGCTCCAGGTCTCTAGGTACAGAGCAACTAATCAAGAAATAGTCATTGGTTGAAAGAATAAATGAATAGATGGATAAGGAGGGAAAATGTCTCTGGGTGATCATCCCCCAGGGCACCTCCCCAACTTGATAGAGAGCCTTCACACTTCTTAGCAGCTTTTCTTCAGGGCCCACCAATCAAAAGGGTCTATCTTATCTCTCTGGGGTTCAGAGAGTAGAATTTAGTAATGAAGTCATTTTATTTGCATCTGTGCTTTGTTTTGCAGGAGAGCTGGGTGAAACTTGACTCCTTGGGTCCTGTGTAGTTTCTCAGTGTATGCTTGGACAGTTTTGTGTTTCCAGCACAGCTTAACTCTCTCAGGCCCTTTGGTGTGCCTCTGCAGAGCTGGGGTCTGGACAGGGGTTCACATGGCCTCTCCAGGGCTCTGAGCAGTTACTGTTGGAACTTCTTCTTTGTTATGTTAGATTTTGTGGTTATTTTAGAAGGCTTGACCAATGCTGGTCCTGTTCCAGAAGGCACACTTCCTTAGATGGTCTGGGCTACTGCTTCCCTACCAAGTGTGGAGGTGAGGGGCTCAGTTTCACAGAACCAGACTGTAAATAGTGCGACTCAGTGACTATAACTTCCCTGATCCCCCAAGCCCTCCAGTCTGTTTTTCTGTTTCCTGGAGTTGAGCCAGGTATCTGGAGACCATTTCTCCCCCTCAAAGGGATCCCCTAATAGCACTTCTTCTTTGCTCTTTCTCTGCTCCAGTTCCATCTGCAACTTCCTAATCACAGCATTAACTACTGCAGAGCTGATCTGGCTCCTGATATGGCATCCCCAGGAGAGCGTTTGGAGTCAAGAGAAGATGGACCTGTGTTCATGAGAAATGGTAGGAGCCGCCCTAGGATAACATGAGGCCATGTCCATAACTGGCAGGGCCTGGCAGAGAGAAGTGCCCTTATAATAGTTGCTGTTCAGATATTAGTTGCATCGTCTTAAAGCAGTCCCCACATATTGCTCATTAGTATTAAGGGCGGGAAATTTCTCCAGACAATGGAGAAATTATACAGTGGCTTAGTAGTCCAAATTGTCATCCGTGTGGGACAGATGACATTGTGTGGTTCCAGATGTGATACTCTGGATGTCAGCTGGGCAGCATTCAGCCTGATACTGCATCACTTCACCTAACCACGAGGAAACACCAAACACGAGGAGTAGTATGTTATTACACTAAATAGTGTGTGCTACTTGCTTTGGCACTAAATATACTAAATTTAAAACAACAGAGAGTAGATAAACATTGCCCTGCATAGAGATGACACATAAATTTTTGAAGAAAAAAAAAGTGTTTGGGGGGATGAGGATCAACTTCATAAAGTGAGATTAAAGAATGTTTAAAAGATATGACAAGAAAACACAATAACTGCATCTAAGCTAGATCCTGGAAGGGGCATGCTATAAAGGACACCAATAAGTCAACTAACAAAACTGAGCAGTACCTTTCCAACTGTTAGGTGTGATTCTGCTCAATTCATGAATTGTTTAATGAAACCAATTAGAGCTCTAAAAAAATTTGATTGTTTTGTCAAGTATTATGGTTATATAATATTACTCTTAGGAAATACATATTAAAATATTTAGGAATCATGAAACATGAAACTTACTTTCAAATAAGGAAATAATTACATTATATATGTATATATATGCAGATATATGTATATATATCTATACACTATATATGTATATATTGTATATACATAAACACTATATATGTATATATAGTATATAAATACATAACATCTACATAAGTATATATGCACAGATGTACCAATATATATACATATATAGTCTGTATTTACACACAATATTATATATTACAATAACGTAGTATATATTTTTCCAAAACATTTTATATATGAAAATATATAAATATATATGAAAATATATATTATTGGCATACTATAGATAGAGAGATAGATTAAATACCAGGGAGAAACACAAAAATATAAAGCAATGCAGAAAAATGATAATAATATAAGTGCTTCTGTACTATTTTTATTTTTACAACTTTTTGGTAAGTTTGATATTATTCTCAAACAAAAAATTCAAAAATAAAGCTGATGTTATTCTGATTATCATATATTTGTAGCCTAAACCTTATGATCCAAGGCAAAAAGGACATGAGGCCACATCTCTGTGAAACCACTCAGGTTTATAAGTTCTTGTGAGCTAAGAAGTGTTTTGAACTTAACTACAATTCTGAAGCAAATATTCTATGATGACAACCACTTTGGGGGACCCTGGAATTCCAAGGAGGGAAGAAATTAAAACTGAAAGGAGATACACTTATCCTAAATCCAGTTCAGAAAGTAAACAATACCCTGCCATCATTACTAAGCAATCTAGAAAAGTCTAGATTGATTTTAAATTCCACTTTTTTACACAAAAAGTCGAGATGTAGCATTGCATAGAGATTGAGGATGGCTTGCGTGTCCAGTGGATCTGGGTCTCAATCCTGATTCTGCACTACCAGCTGTTGCACCTGGGACAACTATGTCTCTCCTCCCTAGTCTCACTTTCCCTCTCTGGGGGGACAATAGTCCTCAAAGAGTTGCTATGAGCATTAGAGGTAGTGCCTGTGAAGCACTTGGCATGTATGAAGTTCAGGCCTATGTGCCAGGCACAGGGCTAAACACTAAGTTGTGGAGAGGAATGAACCATCATCCCTGTCTGACAGGAGCTTGGCATCCAGCCAGACAAGAGCACAGAGATAGCCAAGGCAGGGAAGAGTGGCAGCTCAAACACAGTTTCTCAACCACTGTATGTACTTGTTGAAAAGGCAGAATCCAGGTCCCAAATCAGAGTCTCTGGGGTAAGAATTTGAAATTGGTATTTTAACAGAGTCTTAGACACTGCAAAGTTTAAAACTTACAGACCTGCCCTAAATCACATTACAGATTCAGATGCATCTGGGTATTTCTGAAGGACCTTCAGGACAGGCCCACTGGGGGTCTATATCGATGGAGTTCCTAGAAGACTATTGAATGAAAGGACATATCAATAAAATAGCACAGCTCATAGAAAGTCTTTAGAAACAGGAGAACTGCTGCTTTGGGAAAACAGAGACAAGGGTTCAACTCAACCCCACATTGTGGCAGTTGGAAGACCTTGGTGTGCAGAGTGGGGGGTGGCAGAAGTTCAGGAATGGAGGAGGAACAGAAGAGCAAGCTGGCAACCTGGGATGGATGGCATCAGCCCTGGTTAGGAGAAGTTATCACAAGTTGTCTACTGGCAGAGAAACCTTGCTGGGCATTTGTGGAGCATGTAGCACCAGTACTGCTGCAGACTTTACACATGTGGAGTTGACTATAGCATTCTACCCCGAGGACTCCTTTATAGGCGCACATGTGTGATTCTGTAGCTATATCCCAGATGGGCCACTCGGCCTTCAGAACTGGGGAGACAAACCCAAATTCTTAGGTGAGTACAGGTTAGACTCAAGATGGGTTATCAACACTGGCTTCACCACAGACCTCACTGTACAAACTTGGTAGATGGATTCCGTTCCCAAGAGATCACATGGTTACAACTCAAATAGATCTCCTGGAAACCTCCGGGCTGCTAGTCCCCAACAATCCTAATTCACTGCTGCTTTTTCCTGAACTTCTGCACTGAGTTGTGAAAAGCATATTCACTTTAATCCATTGATTCTCAGCTCTGCCACAAATTTACCTTCTTTGAGCTTCAGTTGCCTTACCTATTAAAATTGGTTAATAATATGTATCTCACAGCGCTGCTTAATGAAGATGAGCCTCTTTCATTTTTCTATAGTTGATTCATAAGTAATAAGTTCTTGAATGCCACAGAAAAGAACTTTACAATCAGTCATTTTGTTCATATTTTTATATATTGATCTCAGTTTGAACATTTAGTTAATGAAAAAGACTTTAGACACAGCAGGAAATTCTCCAAAGATATTTTTTAATGGGTGGTAGGTTTTAAAGTGTCTCTAGGCCTTCTGGAATGGATGGCAGACAATTAGCCTGCCTCTTGCCTGAGAAGTCAGACTAATTACTGGTGAGGCTTGGCTAATGGGGTCTTTCGTGAACTCCCTCCCTAAATGAGAAATCTTTAACTTTTCACAAAAACTCAATCTCATTTGTGCTGCTGATTCCTAATATTTTTAAATAAATGCTTGGCCTCTGGGCTTTTGTAGTCAAATAACCCAAATCAAACCAAGCTGCTCTGCCAGGAGAAAAATTTATTTTGTATGAGTCTACTAGAAGAAACTTTTGAAATCAGTTTGGAATCACTATAGTTATAGCCTGCTTTGGGGCAAGTTTCACGGGCCTGGGCTAAGAGATGAGATTACTCCATTTGGGTTGAAATGGTTTGTTGAGATGCTCAAACAGGAAACATTGACATGTTTCAGAGCTCACAGTCTACAAGCAAACTAGTCTTCTGACCCTAAGTCATCTGCCCCCTATAGAAGTACGGCCAGGATCCATTCCTAAGGAGAATAGACAGAGTCCAGGGAAAGCAGTCACCTGTCCAGCAGAAGAATCTAACTATTTAATGGCATGGTCACCGACCGGCAGGAGGTAATTTGAAGAGACACGGACTTGAAACAGATTCATGTATTAGCACTGATAGGAAGAGAGGGACAAGAAAATCAGAGCTTGACAGAAGGTTGTAGAGAATTCCAAAAGTGACCCACAGGTGAGGTATAGTCTACATAGTTGGTTGGAGGAAGCTGTCCAGGAGAATCTCCAGTGACCTCAGATGGGATGTCTGGAATATGAGTCCTTCCTTCATAGTTCCTTCTCCTCAAGGACTTCCACAGTAACAACTCTTTTTTTTTTTTTTTTTTGTGGGACCCTCGCTGGCGGCCGGGGAACGAACCGGCGCTACAGAGGCTGCGGGCAGCCTCGCAGCCCAGCGCTCAACCGCTGTGCCACCAGGGGAGGCCCAACAACTCTTTTTTTTTTAAAGATTTATTTATTTATGCAAGAACCAGGGTATAGGCCAGATGTGTGGGAGGGTGAGAGCATTCACCAGCGACAGAGCGGGCAACAGAACAGGCAGACTGACTGAAATACACTGCTGAGGGGAGCAGCAGGCAAGACAGGAGAGGTCTGCTGTGCCATGTGGGTTCTCCGCGGCCGGCAGGGATCAAACAGGAACTGCAGAGGCTGCATACAGCTTCACAGCTTCACAATGCTGTGCTAAACCACCTGCGCCACCAGAGAGGCCCAACAACTACTTTAAGTACAGGATCAAAGGGGAACTTGGGAATTCTGGATTCTTTAGATTTCTATTATAATACTGAATTGCTGCTCACTAATGCTAAACTATTCCTCTCTTGTATTGTTACCAGCAATGCTGGTTCTTTCCAGAAACTTTAGAAGGGATGGTTGTCAGCTTCATAGCTGCTTGGGCTAGTCTAGGTCCCCAATCTTTCCTGATGATGGAGTGGGGGTGAACCCCTCTTTTTGGCTTAATAAAGGTACCATTAAATTTTTTTCTTAAAAAATTGGTAGAAAAATCTCCAGAAGAGGGGCCTCCCTGGTGGCGCAAGGGGTTAAGACTCAACCTATGAAGCTGTCTGCAGCCTCTGCAGCATGAGTTCAATCCCCCAGCTGCCAGGGAGATACCCACATGGCGCAGCAGGCCTCTCCTTTCTCTCCCGCTGCTCCCCTCAGGAGCGTATTTCGGTCAATCTGCTTGTTCTTTTCCCCTCTCTGTCTCTGGTAAATCCTCTCACCCCCATACTCCCGCCTTGTATGCATAAATAAACAAATCTTTAAAAAAAAAAAGAAAGAAAAATCTCCAGAAGATAAAATAAAGAGGAACATAAATGTTTTCAGGACATAAGGGTTGTTTTTTTTTTTTTTTATTGCTATGTAAGTCTTTAGCAAAAGTTAGTATACAGTAAACCAAAGCTTGTTTCCTTGTCCTCCATTCCTCCAGTTGGCCTAGAACATCCTGATCAACATCCTTCCTAAATCCTTCCCATTCTCCAGATCCATTCTTAAAGCATGAATCTCCTCTCCAGTAAATAATCTTAGACAGAGACCTCAGTCACCACATGTAAAAGTATATATGTCATTAAAAGTCCAGTTGTAGGGAATAAAACTTCTTATTTCTCCATGATCATGGTTCTAAAAACTACAGTGTGTGTGTGCGCGCGCGTGTGTGTGTATCGCTTAAGAAGCTTTTAAAAATGTATATTTTGGGGTCTTTATTCCAGATTAGCAGATCTGGGGTGGGCTCAGGAAGCTGCAATTTCTAACAGTCATTATAGGTAATTTCCATTGCAGTAGAAAGAAGACATTTTTGAAAGGCTGTTT